CATTCCTGCCGAGGACGGGGCCTACGCGGAGCGCTTTTGTGGGTGTCAGGGACGCTATGTGCCGTGCAGAAGGGGAGCAGTGTGCTCAGCCTGAGATGGGGTGTTCAGTGCCTTAAGTCTGCTGCTTGCCGCTTGCCTACACCATGGAGCGAACCGAAGTGCTTACGTTTCAATTGAGGGCAATTTGGGTTTTCAGTTTCTAGGGGAGAAAGGTAGAAAGCTGAGACGTACTATAGAATTCACTTCACCCCCAAATATGTATTTTTAAACAACAAATTAACTTGTGAAGTTATGCAAGGTAAAGTATTAGCATCTAGACTGAAGTCCATGCAGTGCTCACTGGAAAGGCCACAACTCGAAGGCTTATCATGCGGATACCTCGCCTTTGAAGAGAAAAAGTCCTCATCCGTAGACGTTTCTGCCAAGATGACCGTCTTGGGGCCAAACGGTGACTCCCACCTCAAGCTGCTGACGTTTGGGTGAGAGTGGACACCTGAGCCAGGAGCAGGCCATCTAAAGGCTAGCACAGACCTGTGGGACAGCCTGGCCGGAAAAGGTGAGCTGGGTCAAACATGGTCTTCTCATGAACCAGGGGAGAGGGAGTGAATGGGAACACGAACTGGTCTCTCCATCCTTAGGCAATGTCCCTCTTCATTCCTGGTAATAGTCCTTGTCCTGAAGGCTACATTTTCTGTTAATATGGTCAACCCTACAATCCTTTCTCTCAGCCAGAGTTCACAGGGTATTCATTTTTCCATCCTTTTACTTTTAGCCTGTCTATAGCTTTGTGTTTAACATACGTTTTGTGCAGACGGACAGAACTGGTTCTTCTTCCTCATGTACCTCGACAATCTCTGTTTTAAGTGATACTTAGATCATTCTCCTTTAATGTAATTATTGACAGGGTTGAGTTAAAATCTATAGCTTGGTTTTGAAGAAGGTTGTTATTTATCTGACCTTCTCAAAGACTCCTGTATGTACGCTTGGTGGAGTTTAAATTCATTCTGGGATGGAAGGAAAGGAACAGTGCTAACCAATGTCACAGATGTGACAAATGGGACATAATGCTTATTCGATGGCTTCCTTTCTTTTTATATATTTTGAGACTGAGAAAACTAAGTGGCTGGATTTGGACAGGAATCCAGGTCTCTTAACATTCAATCAGGCAATTGGTCTTCCGCCCCCCTCCCCCCCATTATACAGTGCTATTTTGACCAATGAGAAAAAAGTTTTTTTCCTAAGCCGTGAGGGCTCAGTATGGCAACACACCAAAAGAATGATTTGAAGTTGAACGTCAAAGCTGGAAGTGAGTTCTGGTTTTTTGGCTCCTTCATGTTTAAAACAGCCAGTTACCTTTATAGGTTGGGACAGTGTCCAGTTTCCCTTTTTTAACTCGTTGTCTCTCCAAAGGTCGGACGATTGCCACAGGCTGCGTTTTATGAGGATTAAAATCCCGTTTGTAGGTAGTGCCAAGGTCCATGTCCCCCTGTTTCGGTTTATATTTTTCCGGTACATGGCGAGGCTGTGGGGTTATTTCATAAGGACGATAATCTGACCTGGAATGGATAAAGTTGAAATATAGCCTCGCGGGTTCTTTCGTTTCTAATTATTTCAGTGCTGTATTGAAATTTTCAAGCTGTTTTTACTTGAAAAGTTTAAGAAGAAAATCAAATGGTGATAGTTGATAAACTACTTGAAAGACATAATTGAATTCCCTTGTGTCCTATCCAGTGACTAAATACCTCAAAGAACATAAATGTGTCAAAAATCCTGGTTTCAAAACATCATTACCCTGGATTCTTAGTTAACTGGATGTTACGTAAATAAAGTCCCCCAGTAATTGAATTTTTTCCTAACCCAGAAGGAAATCTCAGGTGAAAAATTTAACGAACGTAAAAAAAGTTTTAAGTGTGTGCCCCAGGTCTGCTTCGTCAAAATCCTCGTCCGTCCTGCTCGTAAGACCCCGGTCACCTGCTCGGGCGTGCTTCCCTCTTCCTGAAGTCACGCTGTCTTCCAGCTCGTCATCAAGAACCAACCCCGGCCTTCGGACAGAAGTCGCACTCAGAGTGTGAATGTGAGTCCTACCCCTTCTTGGGTCCCCTGGAAGCCCTTGCCGTGGCCAGCAGCCACGCCGGAACCCAGCTATGCCGGGTGCTATACGCTGTGTGACGGAGCTGGGAAGAGACCACAGCCTCTGACCAGACGGACTTGCCCAGGTCCGAATCCCGGCTCAGTCATTGGTAGGCGCATGACTGGAATCTTAGGTGCCCTGTCTATGCCCCAGTTTCCTTGTATATGAAATAAGACAATAATGTCATCTATCTCATAGGGTGGTTTTAAGGAGTGACACACACACACACACACACACACACACACACACACACACATACACACACACACCAGTGCTTGATATGTAGTAAGGACACTGTGGTAGCAACTACTATTGTTACCACAAGTCTTCAAAATTGCTTTTTTTTCTTTCTGGACTCTATCAACTGTGTCAATCATTTTATGATTGGCTTAAACCTTGCTGAAGCCGCATGTTCTGTGTATGCCGTAAGCACCAGAAAACAAAACGAAAACTCCCTGAATCCCTATCCTTTTCATGCTGTGACTCCATTGCCCACCCATCAGCCTCTTCAGCCTGGTGTCCAGCAGCCTCGCTCCTCTGATGCGGCTGGAGGGCTCGCAATGACTGCTGGCTTTTGAGAATGTCCTTCTCCCCATGCTGCTGCTGCACGTGGCTCCCTTTGCCTGGAATGCACTTCCTTACCTGCTTAATCCCGTTGTTTCCTATCCTTCCTGTTTTAGCTCATTCTTATGTCCCTGATAAATTGCTCTGGCTCTCAAGTTACCTTGTACGTATCCTCCTTAGATCTTATCACGGCTGCAACTTTATACTTACTTCGAGAGATGTTTTTGGTTGCCACCTCACTAGGTGCAATGTCCGTTGAGCACAGGGATCATGGCCATTTTTGCTCATGCCTGTATCCCAGGCACCTAGCACAGTGCCTGACAATAAAGGCTTAATAACTACTATTTCGGGGATGAAGAGTTGTAGAAGTCACATACCTCTGCTTCTCAAGACATCTGAGTTGTTCTTTGCTCTTCCCAAGTAGCAGGTAGAAAGGAACAGGCTAGAACACGTATGGGGAGTGGAAGGACCAGGGAGAGGACAGAGAGCAAGCTTAGACGTCCAGGTTTCTCTAGTCAGGCAAAGTGTAGGAAAGTATACCTCCAAACCCAATGCGACTTTCGACACAGAAGTAGCGAAGCAGCATTTGAGATCTTGCTTCCCGGCAATTGTTGTCAGTTTGGCTCAAAATCTTATAAAATTCTTAAGGGAAAAAAAAAAAAGTCATAAAGGGTACATGCACTTTCATTCGTCTGATATGTCCCCAAACATCTGACATATCCAGAGTCATACTCTGTCTCAGGGCAGAGTTCCTGCCGCCTCAGACCATGGTCTATGCTGTGTAAGCAGATGAGCTCTATCTGAAATGAAGTGAAAATGGATAACACTAAAAATTAAAGTTGGGGTAGAGAGTTTTATTTGAACTCTAAATTATGGAAATCTGATGTATGAGTTCCTTGAAAGCAGGAACCTCTCTATTCATTGATCTTTTTACGCCTGATACCTAAAAAGGCCTTGGATGTTTGTGCATGTTAACAGAATTAAGAAAAGAATTAACCCATTGCGTTGACAAAGATACAAAGAGATCAGAAAAGCTAAGTCCACATGAAAAGTTTAGGCTTAGGAAGACTTTTTTTTTTTTTTTAATCTATTATCTACTGAATAAATACCTAGTGCCTACCATGAGCTGGTAGGCATTGTCCTGGGACTCTGGGAGCAGAATGCCAAGATAAGACTAGACATAGTTCCTGCTTTCATGGAGCACTGAAACTCACCTAATGATAAATAATAGAAAGATGCTTTGAGCTCACGTCAGGGGCTTTGACCTGGCCTGAACACTGGGTGAGGTGGTGTCAGAGGCTTTTCACGGTGACGACTGAGTTAAGACCTACCAGTTGGAAAGGGCATTAAGTAGGGTAGGAAGGAGGGGACATTTCAGACGGGTGAAACAGTATCTGGGCAGGGTCTGTGAAAAGAGAAACCTGTTGAGAAATGAAAAACGTCCCGTGGGATATACACACAAAAGGACAAAGGGCACTGCGGTGAGAATCAGCGAGAGAAGCAGGTTAAGGACCAAACCGTGAAGGGATTTTGGCGAGGCTTTTGGCGTGTATTAAATACGGTAGGACAGCGTCAGAGTGTTTTAGGTGGGGAGGCCACGGCATTAGGTTTGCGTTTTAAAAAGACCCTCTTGGCAGGCTAAAGTAGAGAAAGCAGATCAGAGGTGCAAAAACCAGAGGGGTTGCAGATACAATTAGGCATTCCTCTAGGCCCTGGCGACATGGGAAGCGGGTAAGTATAAGAGACTTAGGCAGGT